AAATCATCCAGCACATGTATCCAACAGCAATGTTCGCAGACTCACGAACAGACTCTGCCCTCTTTCTTTGCTGCAGAGTGTCCGCGGAGAGTGCCAGTAATCGTAACCGGTACTTTCGGGGATGCCATGCCTTCGTTTCGAATCGTCCTGTAGGTACAACTGCTGTCACCTCTCCCGATACCCTGATCGACAACACGTGTGTTAACGTTTCGACACGTGTTCGCAGCTTCAAAGGCAACCAAGAAGTGGGCCGGCGAAGCAGAGGATCAGAGACGACTCTGCCAGGCCACAGATAAGCGAGCTCCATGCAGGCGGCGGCAAGGAGCAGGCTACGGGGACTTCCACCGCCGCCGGTGGAAAGGGCGGGATGCGATCGACAGCTTGAGGGTCAGCGGGGAAACGAGCCTCGACTATCCCGGTGGCAGCGCTCAAGTCGACCGTGATGGTAAGGGGTGTCACTGGCTGAAGCTCAGCGTAGAGTTGAAAAGGGCTGCGAATCAAAGAGACACAGAGGCGGCAACGTGTGCGTCTACAGTACGTCTAGTAGAGGTACAAGCTACTCGCCCGTCTGCGGGAGGAAAGGTGTTGGTCTTGGTGTGTTGCACGAGCGGGTAGTGTCGTAGGCCAGGTTACAGTGATGACCCTTCTGGTCCTTGATTTTTTCTCTGTGTCTTGGAGTAGCTTGTGGCCATGGAAATTGGGTTGTTGGCCTTGAGCACCGAGGAGGGCTTGCTGGATCGATCGACGTCGGTGTTTTTTTTCTTCTTCAAGACATCAACCACGACATCAATCGTCCTTCACCGTCCCATGCTGCATACTGTACAGCGAGTTATTTTCCCCATCCCGACATTTTTGAATCCACGTCATCCATCGGGCTAATTTCCGGAGATCCCCCTGTTGTTTTCTTCGTGCATTTTTGTCTACACGAAAAGCTCAAGGCCCTCCCGAATAGTCCGCCAACCTATCACACAAACGTGTATTCAACCACATCGTGCGTTGGCAGGCCGTTTGGTCTCGTGGTGGTGGAGGTCTCGACAAAGTATGTGCTGCGGACGACTAGCGCACAACCCGCGTGGTCCCCCAGTTGTTAGGCGTGTTGCTGTGTGTTGAGTCCGCAATTCAGGACCATCGACACCGCTCGGTATCCAGGGAAACGCTCTTTCCGATTAAGAGGGGCAACGTCCGAATGGCCCAGCCGAGTTACATCCCTTGTACCCACAGCGCTGAGCGCCTCTGTCTGCCGTGGCCATTGGGCGGCAGGATAGGTCGGTTCGGTCCTTCACGCTCTAACCCCACTTCAAATGCTCGGCTCCCGGGCATTTTGCGGCCGCCATGTTGTGCGCCTTGACCTGGGGGCACCGAGGAGTGAGTAGTCGAGATGGGGCACACCAGCACTGTAGTACTGCGGACCAACCCATGTATGTAGATATTTTCTTTCTGCTCAAGTATCGCTGTGTTCGTTCGTACGCACAGAGTTTGCATCGATTTTCCAGTGCAAGCTACTGTGTTCTTCGCTCGGTGTTCTTTTCGTGCTCAAACCGTGCCCTTGCCGTGACTTTTCCTCTCACGGCATCGTTTCGATCACACTCCAACTGTTGTTGCTGCTCATGCTGCTGCCTCAGGTCCGGCTGCCCTACGCCGCATTCCCAGCCACGGCATCCGCCGAAACAAACAGCCACGAGGGCACCCTAGCCGTAAGCATCGATGTCGACAAATCAGACCCCACGAAACGAGCGGACGTAGGGTCCAAGCCGTGGCTACTCTTGAGCGCGCTGGAGGGCGGTGGCGAGCAAAAGGCAGGGCGGGCGTCAGGGGGAGGGGGCGCAACGGCGTCTAGCTCTGCGAAAGGCAGGAAGGGCTCGGAAGGCGGCGATGATCCTCTGCCGGAGGATCGCTCCCATCTCAGGCTGCCGCCGGGTAGGAGTGGTTTTGGCTCGTCATCTCCAGCGATGCTTTGGCGTGTTTGTCTATTCCAAGCGTTTCGATTCTACCCGGCAAGACGTCACAAAGACAGCCGTGCAGCTCGTCCGCAAAATGCATTGAATGCAAATGTTAACGAAGCACAGTACTTCGAAAGTACACATGCAATGAGAGATAGACTAGCCGTTTAAGGTGAAAACCACGGCTGAAGGGGATGGGTGGAAGTCTTTACATTGAATGGGGCTGTTTGTCTGGCTCTCAGTTTCGATTTCCGACAACCTTGTGGGTGTACCTTCTGAGGCAGGGGTAAACCAGTACACTGGAGCCGCGGAGGGGGACGATGCGGACAACAACCACGACGTCCTACCCGAAGGAGTAGATCGAAAGCAAGAAGAGCCGATTGGCGAGGGAGAAAGCCTGCCCGAGGAGCGGTTCCACAGAGCTGACATCGTCTCGCAGCACATGATCGAGACTAGGCGAACAACAACGAACGGAAAGAAAAAGTGAGGCTACATGGCTTGGGCGTTTTTTCCATGTCATGGTCGGACTTCGTCGGCCTGTGCCTTGGTGCCGATTTCCTCGATAAAAAAGATACAACGACTTGGAACCTGATTTCTTGATATGTAGCTGCGCTCCAGAATCCCGGGGACGCAGACAGCTTGAGACATGGCCTTGTAGCAAACAAGAAAGAACGACCGAAAAGGTTGCATCTTAACCTGAGATTGATTCGAGACGAACGTGTTCACTTTCCCGCTCACAATAGGTACGCCGAAGTGGAGCCCCGGGGCTAGACTACGTGGTTTTCGTAGTCTCGCATGCAGGTTCAGGTGCTGCGAGCGAGGGTGTATTGTTGCCAGGTTTACCGGCACTCTCGGTGTTGTACTTGTTTTTCCGTTTCGACAATGTAAAACAATGCCCGCGGAACAAACTCGCTTCGGTCATTGACTGACTACGCCCTGCTGGAGAGAGTGTGTTCGCGGGTGCTCACGAGTGAAGTGGTCCCGGTATGATGCCGGTGCGATCCAGCCAATTCCAACGGCATTATCCAGGCGATATCGCCAGCTTTCTTCGGGCAACCGGCAATATTCAGAGCGTGAAGTGACCTGAATATTCCATCTGTGCCAGACGATTTAACCGGCATGATACAGGAAACCGGCGACATTCCAACGGCATGATACTGTATATGTTCAAAGGAAGTTTACAGCAGTCGTCACGAATTCTGCCGTGGAGGTGTTCTCCACATTGAAAATACTTCTGATCGTGTTCTAGGGGCTTTTGTGATATCTTTTGTTCACTTTTGTGGAGGAATATCTTTCTGTGTTCACAACCACAAATTCGCCGGAATATCTCGTTTCTCACCGTTTTTGAATCTCCTCCCTTCGCGAATAAGCCCTCAATGAATTCGAGGAGTTGTGCTGCTTCACACAATTATGCTCTTCGGGCTATCTACTGAACAAGTGCCAAAACTACATATTCGTGACGAAACTCGCCACTCCTTTTGGACACATATGTCTCCTTTGTTGTCAGATTGACCGCGCGGAAAAAACATTGGCAGTGCTGATGACTACATGTCGATGTTATCACCAGGGGCGCACCTGTGTGTTGTGGCATCATATAGCTGTACCAGTCGACTTTCCTCAACGGATCGTTGGCTGTGTTCGCAACTGAAACCTCTAGAATCAGCGTCGTGAAACCTCGATCCTTCCGTCTTTACAACCTTCTGTGAATTTCATGCGCGTACTGTGAAATTGGCTGACAACCGGCTCCTCCTTTCCTCTGGGCATCTATCACATGTTGGGCCCGCCGACGGTGCCGCCGCAACCACCAACCGGCGCCGAAGACGTCCACGACGCTGCTGGAGAACAAGACCCTGAACGATCGCGAGACTTGGCGGCTGCCGCGCGAGTATTGAGCGAAGCAGTGAAGGAGGAGAAGGGTGGTGGCAATGGTGCGCCTGAGGGGAGTCGACTGTCATCGACGTTCTGGGCGGAGTTACTCGACTGACGAGATGTTGTGGTAACAGGCCCGCCGATATTGTAGCCTCGGCCAGTGAGTCTCTGAAGCCCGCCACACAGTGCTTGACTTTCTCATGGCAGGAGAAACGAAACCCCTCGAGGGGCTTCATAATTCGACCACCGCCTGATCGTGAGGCGTGCTTCTGACTTTTCTTGCTCTGTTTATGTTCACGTTTTCGTTTGTGTTGGTGTCGGCCAACGACTACGGAGTGGACCAAATATCACAGCCATGACTACAGCACGATATGTGTGTCGGGGAGTCTTGTTCTCCATCCGGCCCCTGAAGTATGGCATCGCGCGCGCGTGTGCTTGGTTTATGTTTGACCTTGGCGAAGCGCTGGTATGGCATCCCACCACCACCCCTGTATTGCGGAACTTCAGGGTCATTTTTTTTTCTGGTACGTCGACAGCCAACCCCGTGCTTCGGAAGACAGAATGCAAAGCAACTCTGTGGTGCTTGTGCGTCCCGTACCGATTGCACACCCGGCGGCCAAGCGTTCAAGGCGAAGGGTTCGATCTCCATCAAGTGAATGCCACCGGGATCAATGTCTACGTCTTCTCCATCATGCATGCGACTCTCCTCCATACACCGCGTCCGACATCACATCGCCACACGGCTTGCGCGGTGGTGGAGATCGCCCCTCTGGCGGTCACACCGCGCGCCGTGCTGCAACAATCTTCGCATGCCCGACATATAGACTCCTCTCCAACCACAGATTTGTGCCTCGTATTTCCCTCCCTACAAGCCATCCTGTTTCACAAAACCGCTCAGGGCGTGGCAAAAAATCCCGACTCCCCATGACTCACCGACTGACTTGCCTCATTTCCAACAGCAGCTGAGAAGAAGAGCGAAGGATCAACGCTACAACGCGGCCGTCGGGAGCGGGAGAGCGGCGGGGTCGTCTAAACCCCCTCCCGGCCCGGGACCCCGCCCTTTTCCCGCCTATTGTTGCTGCCTCGCTCCTCCTCCCCGCCGACCCATCAAAGTCCCCCCATTGCGGGTAACCATTCGATCGCCAAAGGCGAGGCGGACGGCACACGATCGCTTGGGGATTGTCAACATCTTGCCCGCAGGCGTGACCAGCTATGTGACATTAGCACGGGACATGGATAGCAGGGAAGGTAGGGGGGTATTGTAGCTGCGAGTCGCTGGGGGGAGCCGACCGAGCAATTATTTCAGAAAAGGACCACCAGCAGACAGCACGGACGTCGAGTTGAGAGCCAATTTCAAGAGTTCACCGAGAGCTCTAGTAAGACACTGTCAAGAGGATGCTGTGTGCCAAAATACGGCTAGGAAGTGGTTGACCACAACAGGGTGCGAAAGCCATCTTGAACGAGTACGAGAACAATACAATCGTTTGATTTGTCGTATCATCATGTTCCCTTCGCGCGCATCAGGTCGTACTGCCGCATACCAAAGTACTGTCTCGACAGAACCATACTCAGTGAGGAGACCCAACGAAAGCTTCCCTTGCACTACCAAACCAACCTGATCTCCCATATTCAGTGAAACACGAGATCAATAAGTAGCCTAGCAACAGGTAACGCGATGCTGTCACCGGGAAAGCAACAGGCGGGTACGCTGCCGCCGGCCCATATCCGATAATGGTTGGTCACGCGAGCGGAGGAGTCCAGAAAGGTACGTTGCGCTCCGTCCACGAAGCAAGTTAACTCTCGCGAAACATTGCTTGTGACTAACAAGAATACTCTGCACGTATGTGTATGTACATACCGCAGATTTCAAAACCGGCGGTAACCGCGTAATTCACCTGGAATATATTGACCGTTTCTCGCAGCACGATGCCAGCAACGTTCACCAACGAGGAGACCGAAGCTCTCGACACCGTAAGATAGCACCCCTGAGGGGGAGACGCACACGAAGACGAGGGGGGGGCGAGCAAGCGTCACACCAATAATAGAGCAAAAAAAAGAAACGTGTGCAACTACATAAACGAGTAGGCCATCTGTGGGAGAAGAACAGCTATTCAATGAGGTAATCGCGGACAATCATTGTGAAAGCTGGCAAATATGTCCAGAAAAACGAGAAAGAAGTACCAGAATATTTAGGAAATGCACAAGAAAGAAGAGCAAAAACTCTCAATGTAGGACGGGGTTTGTAGGGGACAGGGGAGACGGCTGTTTTTACAAGCGATAATCGCCAGCACTCCGTCGGATATCTAATCGCACTTCTGGCGAACTAAACTACTAAAAAGCCGTGATGACCCGGGCGGGGAAACCGCGCTGTAACTGCAATTAATGAAAATACACGTAGCAACGCACGGAGGGCCGGGCCTCCAACAAAGAGGACTTAACGATTGACCCGTATGTCGGGCTTTGCTGAAATACGCTCAAAGAGCGATGGACACAAATGGGGGGAGAGACGGCGTACGATGGAACATCGGTAAGGGTCAAGCCTTGGCCAGGTCCTCGGTCGGGCACGCCTCCAACCTACCTGTAGTTCTGCCGAGAGGGTCCTCTGCTGCAAAATCTTCTGGCTTGAGCATTTGGAGACCAGCCTGGCGGCGTAGTTTTTCCACACTCCGTGCAGGCCAAGCAGATCGCGGAAGGGTATGCGGCCTCCGTTCCGTGCCTCCAGCGCGTTCAGCCCCTGGGGGAGATTTTCCGAATGATGAATGCATACAACGTACGAAGTGCTAGGGCAGGTAGGAAGTGCACGCAACCGGCACATTTCTCTATACATGTCAGGAGCAATGCAGATCTTGGCATTTTTCGACGCGCGACATTTCTGACGCGGTAGGGCATGTAACAACATATTCGCCTGATTGAGAGCGTAGCATCTGATTGAGAGCGAGATTGCGCGATACGCTGTAGCCGGACTACCACTGAGAGGTGGAGCTTGCTGTGTAGCTTGAATTGAAGGGCTAGCCCGTAGCTTCAAGCCGCTACCCTGGTCATCCTGTGGGAGTCTCTCGTTGTGGAGCTACAGCGGGGAGCAGAAGCTACAGCAGAGCCCACCGCCCGACGCGATACCGCCCTGAAACAGTTTGAGCAGAAATAGCCAATCTGGGCAAATCTAGCAACTTGTCTAGCTCCTCGCTGCAGCATCCGATGACGATGACACGCATATGCTCGCGAAGCTGCTGATGAGACCTTCAATTTGCACCGCTTCTTGGAATAGCCCGTCCCCTACTTGCCAAGAAATGGCAAGAGGCGTCTGGACCCGAAATTTCAATTTTTTTGGCTCTCGCTCTCAATCAGATACTTCGCTCTCAATCAGGCGAATATGTTGTTATGTGCGGATAGAGAATGTGTCGTTCGTCGTGAGCACGGGGCTGACCGTGTTGAAAGAGATCGCAGCGGGGGCCAGAAGGCAAGGGGAATAATGCTGGATGTCCAAAGAAAAGTTCGACAAAGGAACAACCAGTGCATAGCAATGCAGTATTATTCCCGAGAATAACGTAATTGGGGCCGGAGTTGACATCTGCGTAATCAGGTTTCATTGCCGGGAAAATAGCCCTCTCACCATCTGTTTGCAGCGCTTCCCGCTCAAGCCACGCTTCGTCGCTCTTCCCGCCTGCCGCTCTGCCCGTGCCCCAGCGGTCTGCGTCTCGGTCTGGCCAGATGCTAAACTGTCGAGGTAAACCACCTTCCCCTCGAGCTTGGACGCTATTGCTGCTGTCGTCTTGCGATGCCCTCTTGTTCCTCCCACCATACCCCGAACCAAGTCCGAAAATCGATCCAAAGATGCCGCCGCCGCCGTGCTGCTGCTGTGCCTGCGGCTTGGTGTGCTGCCGCCGCTCTGGGGCGTAGATAACGCTGCACGGAGCCCTGTCGGCAGGAGAGCCGGAGGTAGTCGGGCGTACATTACCTGGTCCTGCTGAGACCCGTCCGCCGTGATGGCGCTGGCACGCTCGTTCTGAGTTGCGGGCTGTTCTGCTGGGGGTTTTGTGCGTGCGCGCGGTTGGGTGGGAAAGTTCGAGGCGGAGGTTGCTGAAACAGGAAAATGCTCAAAACCATCCCAGTAAGGTTCCATGACATGCATTCACATGACCGTTTCATTCGGGCCAGCAGGTGAGAAATGCGCACGAACGAACTAGCAAGTTCACCGGATTTTTGCCTTTTCGCGCGCAATGGTATTCTTGCACACATTTGCATAGGATGCATCAGATCCCTTCCGATCGAGCTAGCTCTTTAGAAGGGGTATATCCCTCATGATCGGTAGGACATGGGAGATTGGAGCATTTTCCCTATGTGATCTGAAGGACAATGGTGACCGGTGTATGTTTGCTCCATGGTGATCTGTAGGACATAGGTGAGCTAATTAGCTCACGATCTGTCCTATATTTGCGTTTTTCCAACACACCCTCGACCTCATCTGAGCGCTGCATGAAGTCCATGGCCTTCACCAACGACAAAGACTTCAATCCATGTCTCCCATAGCAAGTTGTTGTTGTTGTTGTTGTTGTTGTTGTTGTTGTTGCTGTTGTTGTTGTTGTTGTTGATTCTCACATTAGCTCAATAGTCCACAAAAAATTGGGAGCCCGTGGTCTCAAAACCCAGCACATACGACGCCGCGGGGAAACAACACAAAAATAGGGTACAAAGCACTAGGAAAAAGAAAACAAATGATAGAAAGAAAAGAACAGGTATCGCACCGACCGTTCGAGAAAAGAGCCCTCGGAAACCGATCAAAATAAAAGCAACCGATCAAAACAAATACAAAAATAAAGGAGGACGCTTCCCACACCCGCCCAAACAAAAAATCAAAGGGTATCGTACCAGCACCAGGCACTACGCACCAGGGCGTAGAAGTAGCGGAGCAAACAGGACAAAGAGGCGGCAGATGGGCAGACAGCCAGACCTACAAAAAAAGAAGCAACAGCAAAAGCGAGATCAAGGTACCCAACACAGCAGAGTAGGCAGGGAGGACATGAAAAAAAGAAAAACAGCACAGAGGCCGAAGGCAATACAAAGGACATACATAAAGGAGTATAGCGTACAGGAGGGAGGGAAACAGGGCGCAACAACATCAGCCGGGTACATAGTTCGCCACAAGTACTGCCTCGGCCGCCCTACTCGCTTCTACAGCAGGTCGCCGTTTCTTCCCCCCCACCGCCGCTTCCCCGGTTCTCTTTCTCTTCGGTCCTGAGATGGCCGTACTCTCTGCTTCTGCTTCCCCCGCGCGCTGGCGCTTCACGGACGTTTCCGCCTCCTGCCCATGCCATTTCCTCATGAGCCATGCCGCCCCGTCCTCGACCTTGTTGTACCACACCTCCGGGTCCTTGGCGCTCTCTTTCCATTTCCCCCCTTCCTTTTCGTCTCCCATGTTGAAGGCCACGAGGTCCTCTCCTAGACGAGACACCCAGTCGCTCTCCTGCCCGCCCCGGTATCCCACGCCCCCCGCCATCGCTCCTAACAGCATGC